GGCATTGCTGTTTCGCGGTGATAGAGAGGAAGTTGCCGAACAATGTAATCTGTCATCACATGAAGCGCTAATGGGCATCGGGTCCAATCCTATCATGTTTATAGTTTCTTTTTCTGGTTGTTTACACGAAAATGTGTTCGCACTCTAGATGTGATGTTAGCATCTGGTAGGGATCGTATGCTATTCTCTCGATTGCCTTTCTCGATGAAGCTAGGTGATTGTTCATCATCAACAAATTCTACTGATGAACATCAATAAATGTGCAAACGATGCAAGGTAAGTTGAGTGATAACTTGTGGAAGAACGAAATCACACAACATAGAAGAAATTTACTTGAATCTGGTTGCACCCTGAGCAGAAATTGTGAATAGAAACGAGTTCTTGGCTACTTTTAAAGCACAAAATCATTCTGATCCTTTTTGATAACGTTGCTTTCATAGAGTGCTAAGTACTGCATAGCAATTTTCCCTGGATGCGTCTTGTGCACCAGTCTAGAATTGGGTACAGTAACATATTTTCGTCGAAGAGAATACTAGATAACTCCTTCTTTGTTAATTGCATTAAACTAACGCTTGTTTGAACGTCAAATCATTGTGCAGCTACCGCTACAAATTGAAGATTGGACAAATGGCCTTCTTCAAGTTATATGTGAACTAGCCAACTTTGGCGAACGATGCTAGCTGTAACAGCTCGACAAGTATAGCTCCACAAACAAAGCAGCTATACATAAGAATTCCACGAAAGCAATTCTTCGAATAAGTGCAGGACATATCCAATGTCAGCTTGATCATAATAAGTGTGGAAACCAACAATAGAATATAACGTACATTGGAATCACTTACTTTTATGGAGTTCAAATTGAAAGTCCAAAACTGTGCGTGGGACAATCGATCATACCAAAAGAAGCATTAGCTCTCCAGCATAACGTTTTAAGACGAATTTCATAGAGATGTAAAGTATTTACGTGTACCCATAGCCATATACAGAAATGGCGTCACTGTGAAATGTTGGAGGATGATGTTGAAAGAGGAAGCAATCGTAACAGTCACTAATCACACTGGTGTAACTTGCTGCCTTACATACTTCAACAACTTTCTCTAGTTTAGCGGATAACATGTAGCCATCTCCTCCTCAGTCTCTCATGACTCGTACTAGCAGTCGTGCAACGGTCATACATCAGCAACCCTTCATCGCCGGTGACACTCCTCGTCAGATGCACAAGTATTTAGAGATAGTGCGCTCCAGTTGAAAAGAAGAAGTGCTCTAATCGAAATGGCGATGGAGCGCACCTGCAATTCCTCCCGGTCCCGAGCCCTTTTACGGGCGTTCAAAGTTCGGAGCGAAAAAAAGAGTCTACCAAGCCTGAAATTTGCTCCGAAAGTGGGCCGAATCTTACGGTAGGGCCGGACGCCGCCCACACGGCAATATCGATTTGCAGGGCCAGAGTGCGTATAGCGCACACATCATGAGCGTAGGGACGCAACGACTCTGCCTCTCTACCTTTCATGCACCTCGCACTCGCCCGATCCTACCGTAAGATTCGGCCCACTTTCGGAGCAAATTTCAGGCTTGGTAGACCCCCTTTTTCGCTCCGAACTTCAGTCATCGCTTAGGTAGGGGGTCTACTATTACAGCATTACGAGAGCCAGGTACCCCCAGTCTAGTGGGACGCTGCCTTTAAGCAGTACAGAAAGAGTTTCACACAGTTGAGAATGCACACTCATGCGCGCACTGAGACTTCCGTAAATGGCCTGCCCTTCCATAAGAGTGTTCGCTGCAAAGCAGCTCCATTATGGGAATGGTATAATTCTTTGAATGGAGAGTATGAGAATATGCACTTCGAGAATGTTCTTTGACCTTCTTTAAGTTCCAAAAGATTCAAAACGACATACCCAACCGCGATTTCCTGAGTTTCAAGCAAGCGTGGTCCAAGCTTAATGTGCTGGGTCCTACACGCAGTGAGAAACGCGCGCGACCGCCAGCGCAGCCGGTTAAGTAGATTCAGATGGCGCCTAAGCAATCACATACCGTTTGGGCTTTGCTTGCACAATATTACTCCAAACTATATTACGTAAAAAATTTCATAAACTTATGTGTCCTAATATGTGTTTCCAAATTTGTTGGTTTCTAGACCAACACCAAACCAACTGGGTTGGCTCGGAGCATAAATATCGAAGTTCACATAAGTTTTGAATCTTTTTTATTTGAACGATTAGAACTTAAAAATCTATCATAAGAAAGCACCAAAAATACTAACCTACGCGTTGATAGCTATCGCGTTCCAATCACATGCAGCCGTTTGAAGTACAGGGCATTTGAAGAATCGTAACGATGGCGCGACCGCGCGCGACACACACGCCACTTCCGGAGACCGCATTTTCTTGATTTTCATCTCAAGTGGAATGTGGTTTACGTATGATAATACTTAGACACTGGAAGTGGCTGAGCTGAAAGTTGAGGTGATGTTTTCTTGCATGAGCGTTTTATGCTCCTATAGGCGCGAAGTTTGCAGCAAAATCCATCGTCATTCATAAATGAACTATACGTGGCGAAAAATGCATCGTAAGATTGTTGAGGTCACAGATTAGGTTGGCTTATTGAGGTCGACATTCTGAACACTAAAATGGTACCATACTCAATGACAGAGCCTTTGATCAACCAGAATGTTTTCTTTGCTTTTTTTTTGCGCTTTACTCTTTTATTGTTATGATGATTCGTTCACTAAATTGCTCCAAAACAACGCGTGCCCGGTCTTGTATATATATATATATATATATATATATATATATTTATATATTTATATATATAATATACATATATATATGTATATATATGGGCCTTATATCAGGGCCTGACACGAGTTAGTTGCTAAAGTTTCTAAGAACAAAGTTCCCCTGATTTTCAAACATTTCACGAAGTCCCCTTTGACCCTTATCGGAAGGCTCGACTTGGGAGAAGATGAAAAGAAAGAAGAGTACCAGTTTAAAAGGAAAACCCTCAAATAAGAGATGCGGTTGCAAGCCCTGCGTTGGAGCGCGCTATGTAACAATGCAATTCATGGAGAAAAAGTCATAAAACAAAGCTGGGTCAATGCTATGAAAATGTCTTTATGCCCAGGGACAGATTCTTGCCCGGGGAATCCGTTCGTGATAAAAAGATCAAAACTTATGTGGACTTACAGAAATGTATGCGCCATGCGGTCTCAGATAGTATGATGACCATTTGGAAACGAATTCTTTTTAAAGAAGATCACATAGGTTTTCAAAATTTTTTTACACAATCCTTCTGCAGATATATTTTATGCCTTAGTTAAATCTGATGTTGTATGCTTCTCTCTATGCTGTGAACAAGCAGTTTTTCAATTTTGGCTTTGTTTTCTAACCACGCGCCACTCAGCCTGTCTATATAGTGCCGGGGCCCATCCTCTATTCACGACCGCACGTGTCTGCGGTGGCCACGACGTGGCTAAAACTTTGCAAGAGCACGACTTGTACAACTGGAACAAGCACTTCAACGCGCATCGCATGCGTCTCAGTGACGGCCATTCCGTACGGTTTATGAATAAACGATATCTGCACTCATTATGCCTACTTAATTTAGCATGTTCAACCCCCCCCCCCCCTGAACCATCTTCCAGCTCCTCAGCAAAGTTCCCAGCAAAATCGGCGAATTCAAGGCGCTTTTTGAAAAAAAATTGTTAACATATATTTGCTCTGCAGGAGGTTTCTACGACCCACCTCCAATGACGGCCTTCACCGATCGAATGGTAGATTTCGCCGGGGGGGGGGGGGGGGGGGGGAGGACGGAAGGTCTATGGAAGGTCTATACAAAAGCTCGTCTGGTTCCAGGGGAGGCAGCCAAGATGTACGATAGCTTGTGCCTTTGTGCCATACACCCGCTTCCAGCCTTCTTATATGCTCCAATGTCAACATCCAGTACCTAGACGCGGGTAGGAGAACGAACTCCGCCATTTTGAGCCCGCCATGCTGGTCCTTTTGCTATATATTGTTGCATTCGTTGCAGGAACAGTAGTCCGCGGAGGCGGTTCAAATTGGCGGACTTCGTTCCCCTACCCGACCCACTCATTTGCAATTCACATGTAAGCTACACTGCGCGCGGCAATCGAAGATACATCACTGGTTTAGCGCATTCATAGAATCGTGACGATGGCGGCAGCCCGCGAATCGCATGCGTGGTTTCGGCAGACGCATTTTCTTGGCTTCCATCCATACTCGAATCATTCTTTTTTTCGTGCGTACGACAGCTTTTGAATCAGATGATTGAGGTGAGCACTAAAGTAATGCCTTTCTTTGTTTCACGCTCTTGTAACGTTTTGGAGAGCGCAAAGGTCGGAGTCGAATTCATCGCCATCGTCGATTTTATGAGCCTATGGCCTAAGGCATACCTCACGCGATTTCAATCGCTGCGCGATCTGCCACTGCAAAAACTCTTTATAGCTGTTCGTAAACGCACTTTGTTTCGGCCAGACTTGCTGCGTCTGGTATAATTCACGAAATCTATGAGCCTATGCATCTGAAAGCCGCGCATGCTTAATCTGTAGAAATCTGGCAAATCGCCAAGTCGCGGGGATGTGGCGATCTCGCGAAATCCCTGGAGGTATGCCTTAGGCCTATGACACGTCAGCAGCTTTTCCCAGTGGAAGAGTGTACTGCTACCTAATACATATTCAGTCAGATCAAGAAAGAGAAGAGAAGAAGGAGAACCTAGAAATTAAAAGTCCCGAAGGAAAAGGTAGGAGCTAGCGCGCGTAGTGTGCGATTACTGAGAATAACTCGACGACATGACTCGATATACACAAACTCAAAGACAAATGAATGTGCTCGGCAGTCCGTCCGTGCAATTCTTATGTGTTTCACCTTTGCTAAATAAACTCAACGACAAAACTGCATTAATAAACCGGTGATTAATCAGGAACTCAAAAGTCACAAAATAACCAAACTCATAATCCCGTTATGCTACAATGCACACTGGAAACAAACCTGCCTGCACTTCAATCCAAAAGAAACACCTGCACCAAACTTTGTAGCCGATGTTGGAATAATACGTATAACGGGGACAAAGAGGCTTCAACCCTCCATATCGAAAACTGCAAAGTAAAAACAAACAAGGCTCCAAGGCACAAAGTTAAGATGCTGTACAATGCGGGCGCAGAGGTCGTTGCTTGACATTACGTCGTAAAAATGTTACAATTCGCGTTTTCAAATCTGAGAAATGTAGGCGAGCAGGTATTTGACAAGCTTCGTAACTGAGATGATTTGGAAGCCTAGGAGCGTTTGTGTTGTGTCAGGATTACGCTACGCGGCACTTTACGTCTTTTGATTGTTATATTTTCTGCATTTCGATCCTGCTTACGAGGTTGTAATAGCAGTTTTTCTGAATGGAACTTTTGCTATTCCAAATGACTGTCGAAGATGTGTAAGTTAGGGGACGGGGTGGGGGGGGGGGGTGAGCGCATAAGGTGAAGAAGAGTAAGGGGTGAGAGAGGGGTAGAGAGGCTGATGGGTGCGCTAGACTCCCCGTTACGATTTGCGGCTCGAACAAGCTCTTTGTATACGCACATCTACTTTCGTTCTACTTCTGAGTAAGCTTGGAAATGATGTATGACTGTAATGCTTTACTGAATAATGTAAGCTGGTTTGAGTTGCAAGTTCTGTCAACGCGAGGGGGTAATCATTCAATTATCTCGATAGACCTGAACAAACTATCCTGTTTACTTTCTGAGGACTTTGCTTTTTTTGCAAGATACATATACATATATATATATGTAAATATATGCATATACATAACCAGTATATCTCTACTCCAGGCGCTTCTCAAACCATCTTTTCCTTCTGCTATGCGCTTTATATCCGCACTGTGGTAAGGGTATGAATGCCTTTTCCACCTGTTTTATTTAGCTCCTGTTTTTTAGTTTTTCGAAAAATTAACAATCTTTCGTTCACCTGACCCTTGTGACCGAATTTATTGAGGCAGTTGATCGCACTGCATTGTTTATGTGCCTGTATTTACGACCCCCTGCGACCAACACAGATCCCTATCTCAAGCGATACGGATGAACACAATGATACAACACAGTCGGCAATACGTTATAGTAAATAGCAGTTCCCTCCACAGAAAGAGGTATTCCCGTCTCACTTGGCCTTGCGGAGGTATGCGAAGCTCTTTAAGAATTGAAGTTAGAATCGTAACACGAAATGGAAAGGTTCTTAAAATCAGCCAAATTTTTCAACTTCTATGTGACACTGGTATGACCGCCATCCCTACATATCTAGCTTCTCCTTTCAGTGCTTCCAGCATAGGCTATTTGTTGCTGCAATCGATCAGCAACCACTTTGGCTGCTAGTGACACAATAGAACGTTAGTGGAGATGATTCAGAAGTCACATAATTAAATCGAACTACAGGGGCGAAAAGCTGCTAAACCCGTTGCACCTTCTCGGCGATTTTCCCATCTGCGGCTATCCGAGAAGAAAGAGACTGGGTGGAGTTCGCAAGAGAGTTCGAGACATCAGCACGCAATATCAAATGATCTCATCGACTTTCTATTAACATGATGTTGCTAATTATTCTTACTTTGTGGATTCAAAGACACCAGTCTGGTTCGAAGACATCATTAAGCAACATCTGCTGATTTGTATAAGCATGACAACATCGAATCAATCGGTGCATTACAGATCTTTGGTGACCGATTGAAGTAAACTGAGCTCTCAATTCGCAAATTTTTTTTTTCAAAAAGAGACCATATCCACTTCTCCATCTGCCTCTATAAATTCACACGAGTGACGTCAAGATTGTGATATTTTCAGGTGAGTCTGCGGTGGATTTTAGCGTGTTCAGGGAACCAAATCTAGACATGTTGAAAAAAACCATTTGCTTGACAAAGAAGGACTGATGAACGATTTTTATTATTCAAATAAATTATATGAATTCCATCGTGAACACTAGGTACAACAATTGCTTTTGAATAAGGATAGCGGCACGACGTAAATAGACATCGTCTACCGCATCCGAAATATCCGCTTTGGAGAAAGAGATTAGCGGCGGGTTCCATCCTCAAAGAACACTCCACCGTCTATGGCACAATACTTGGGACAGATTCCCTTTTCTCCACCAGTTCCTGCTGGTCCAGGTGGTCCAGGTGGTCCTGCTTGTCCGTCGACCCCGGGTGGTCCATCAGGACCGGGAGCTCCCTTTGGTCCGGCAGGTCCTGGAGCGCCATCGTTTCCGGGTGCTCCTGGCGGTCCAGGAGGCCCAGGTGGTCCTGAAGGAAAATTTGAACATCGATGGGTCGGCTTAAAATGTGTGAAAATCAATCAAAATATGAATCAAGCATTACTTACCAGCATCTCCTGGCTCTCCGGGAGATCCAGGGGTGAGTGGCTCGCTCTGGGCAGGGGTTCCAGGTTCTCCAGCAGGGCCCGGTTGTCCTGGCTCTCCAGCTGGTCCAGGAGGTCCGCGAGGTCCAGGTGATCCAGGTGCGGCGTCAGTCCCTGGTCGTCCAGGAGTTCCAGCCTCTCCTGGGTCTCCAGGAGCTCCAGGTGGTCCAGGCGGTCCAGGTGGCCCTTGTGGGCAAGGTTTACATGGTGGTGGGGTAGTAGGCTCGCATGGAGCAGTAGGTGGTTTTCCCGGAACTCCTGGGGTGCCAGGCGCTCCTGGACGTCCTGGTTTTCCCGGCTTGCCTGGTGCACCAACTGGTCCGGGTGGTCCAGGCAAACAACATCCTTCGCACTGAAGGTTGGGCGCAGGGTTGACTTCGGGACCGTAGCCAGACTGACGGGATGTGCGGTTCCGAGGGACAGCTGAGCCAGCGTTTTCTTTCATAAAGTTGACCTCAGCAAAGATATCTTTGGCGGATCCCTGGAAACACAATCACTTACAACTTTCGTCAGGTTAACAGGTTTTGTACACTTCTTTAGCAGAATTTGTTGTCTAGTTTGCCAAAATCTCAAAGAGAGCCATTTTTTCAAAACCAATACATTGTAGTGCTCATCACCTATGTGGTGCTATTCATCAGTGATGCTTTGAGAGCTGCGCTTGAAAAGTTTGCACTTCCAAAATCACGCTGGTACTTCTCACTTTCTAAGCTGATTACAACAAAAATAAGTTTTGTTCAATCTTTCAATCTATTTTCCTTTTTGGTTAGCGAGACAAAATCAACATAGGAAGAAGGCCTAGCGAAGAGGCTAAACTCAACAAACCTTGCAGAAGGAAATCTCGTGCTGCATCTGTCGTCGCACATGACTCACGTAATTGTACACCATTGGCAAAGTGAGCACCACCGACAAAACAGCGACTACTGAGAAGGATACGGCCGCATACGCCACGAATTTGTAAGCCTTGGTGCGTCCGTCGGACTCCATAGCGGACTACGGACGTTCAGGTGGAGCCGCGGATCTTTTATAAGGGTGGAGGCCTCCATATCTCTCGATTCTCTCGCATATCATATAGCTCATGCGAGGAATAGGCGGCGTCCGAGATCGCCAGTCTACGTCCCATATCTATAGATGTCGCAATCGCTACAGAAAGCGAACACTCGCATACGTATAGATGGTCATTCTCGATTAGAGGGTTTCTAGGGTTGCAGCAATGATATGGTCACTCGGTCTCTTTCTATCTCAGTCTTCCAGCTTATGTTCTCTGCAAACTTTTGCACACTCTTTCTTCAGGAATTCTGATGGCATATCAGACTGTCTCTTATGACAGCTATGGTGAATGAGAAGTATGGGTAAACAAAATGATGTCAATGTGAACAATAGACACCTATTACTTGAGGAAATCAAAAAAAAACATGAAATAAGATCTGTGAATGTAGGACAAGACAAATCTGTTGGGCGTAAAATAACCGATTACGATAAGTTATATCGCAAAACTACATGAAAACTTTGGCGGTTTTTATTATTGTAATGGTCTGCTGCAAAGATCGTAAGTTCATGTCATGTGGTCACTGCTTGTCCTATCTACTTCATCTACTAGTGGTAATTCTAAAGAACAGTAAAGTAATAATTGAAGATTTGACGCTGTGTTACTGAGTAGGAAATGGCCAGAACTTAGTCCAGGCATTTCAAACAAGCTGTATATCAGTGGACTCGTCCTGAAACGCTAATTTCAAATATATGTTATTATCTCCAAGGGAGTATCTGGGAGGAGTTCCGTTCAAATGTGAGGAAATCTTGAGTTTTTACGACTATATTAGGTTGGTCCGGAAGTTCTGTCCCTCAAAAAATCATAACTCCTTCCTAACACGATGTTTTTGCATGGCTAAAACCAGGTTGGAAAGAGCATTTCATGCACTTTCTAAAACCACCTTGGCTTCTATCTAGTAAGCTCTGATTGCAGAGATAAAATTGGGAAATGAAATCATTTCAAGTTCGGAAATTTTAAGCAAGCCTGTTAAAAAATGCAAAACTGTGCCATAAAATCCAAAACAGCCAGTAACCTAGGTTTTCTGATCCCCTCTTTCCAGCTGATCAAAGTTCGTGCTTATCGAGCTGCTACTTTGAAAGTTATGATTTTTTGAAAAAAGTCTAATAATCAATTTTCTAAAGAAAATGATTTTTTGGCATTTTTTCTTAAAAATAATAACTTTTCTAGAAAGAGCTCCATCAGCGCGAATTTTGCTTGTATAGAAAGAGGCAATCAGAAAACCTAGGTTACTGGCTGTTTTGGATTTTATGGCACAGTTTTGCAATTTTTAACAGGCTTGCTTAAATATTCCGAACTTGAAGTGATTTCCTTTTTCCAATTTTATCTCTGCAATCAGAGCTTGTTAGATAGCGGCCAAGATAGATTTAGAAAGTGCATGAATCGCTCTTTTCAAGAGGTTTTAGCCATGCAGAAACATCATGATAGGAGGGAGTTACGATTTTTTGAAAATGGCGGGACGTAACTTTTGGAGCGACCTAATATTTCCTATGAAGGCAGCCTGATGGCGCGGATTTACAGTGAATATGGTTGTTTTGATTACAAGGAAAGTACATTTACCAAAAACCTATATAAGTGTTTTTGAAACCTATATCGGGGAACATGGGCCCAGAACACTTGACAAATTGCACATTCAAACGCTCATAACTCCTCTCAGATAATGCCTTGGCAGATAATGAACATATATCTGGAATCAGCATTTTAGACGAGTCCGATGGTCAGCATGTTTGATATGGATCTTTATCCATTGGAGCATGTACGCATCTTAGCCTTTATGCTCTAACAAAATTGTTTATGAGTATACCACCCACCATAACGAGTCATCTAAGAATTGTACATCTCTTCACAAGCCAGTGGAACGCCAGCCACATGGATTTTCTTGCCATTCTTCGTTATCTTCTTTCTTCTTCTCTTGTTATGATTTTTCAATCGCTTGAAGCCAATTTGTATAAAAAAACTTTGCGTGAACATACCTTTTAACCTAAACTTCTCACAAATGCAATTAGGCTGGTTGGAAATAAAGAAAGTCTATTTTCGAAACAGTGTATAAAAAAGGGGAGAAACAGGCTCAAGAATCTAACGGTCGGTGTCCAGCTTGTGCAATAACACGCGCAGATGTTGGACCTCAAAGACTATCCTTATGCGAGGGTGAGCGCGTGAATAAATGTTGTATGGTGTGCTTGGGCCTTCAAGGATGGTTGAATCAAATGAATTTCGCTTAAGCATGGTCTAGGAGCTCGTTGCGAAGCATTCAAGTTATAAACTCTGAATGGAAATATAGCAGATTGGCTTGTGCGCGAGCGTAATTTTTCTGATTTTGTTACAAAAGTAGATACAATACCGCTTATAAATTACCAAAAAACTCGTCGAAGTGCGCTGCAGTGCGCCGGAGCGCAGCGGAGTGCGCCGCACTTCACTAAAGTCTGTCGGAATCCCCTTCGCATCGCCATATCTCGCTTCGGAATGGACGAATTCCGAATCCGAGAATATCTTCAGATTCAGCCCGGCGAGACGCATCATCTGGTATATAGAAGTGCCACAATCTAGCAGGATATGATAGGTATACGCTAGACAGTAAGTTTTCTCTCAATTTTACAGACTCTTGTATGATTTGTTCAGTGTGATGATAACAATATTGCCATTGATTTCTCGCTGATGACACATAGTAGATATACTGTAGGAGTATGCTAATGAGTCACTCTGATCGAATTTGTCCTAAAATCGACTCTCAAGGTACATACCGCTCACAGAATGTGCAAAACTTCCGGACCTCGCGGAATTCCGGGAATTTCGCGAAATTCCGCGATATTCCGGGAATTTCGCGACATTTCAGGATCAGCCGAATCACGAAGAACTAATATATAACTTCCTTCGGAATGAATTCATTCTACATCCGAAAGCAGCATTGTGTTCAGCTCGTCAGGCAAAACTTCGGATGTACAGTATACTTGGGTTTGAATCGAATAGAAATTTGATCATTCGAATAAAACATTCGAATATATTCGTATTCGAAATTCGATATTCGGAGTTCTTCCATTTTCGAATAATATTCGAAACACGAATAATTGCGAAAACGGTGTTTCAAATAAAATCCGAAAACTCGAATAATCAAACAACGAGGATTCGAATATTATTCGAAAACTCGAATAATCAAAGAACGGAGTTTTGAATAGATTTTATTCGAATATTCGAATGTTTATTCGAATTCGTATTCGAACGAATTCCGTATTCAGATTATTCGACTTTTTTGCAGAGCCAACTGCTGAGTATCAAGTTCACTTCGTAATTTAATTGATTTTAATTGATGCTTTTTCGATCAGTGAGATTGTCCTCACTGCTGTTGGCACCAAATCAGCAAAGAAGCTATCAAATTCAAACTCATGTTTCGAGTTCATATATTTAGAGTGTTTTGACATGCCTGTTTTTCTCTCTTTGCATTGCTCATGCTTGGTACGCAAAGCCCACACTAGTGAGCACTCTTGCTCGCATAAGTTAAATTGCACAACTGCCTCTATTCGCTACCTCCTCAGACAATCGCTGAGGGCAGGCGGGCACCGGAAAAATAGATTGCTGATTTCTCGCACCCCGCTCGCGGATTTTTTGCAAAGCAATCAGGACTTTTCGGAAGACCGCTTGCTGAGTCAGCGGATTTTTGAGAGACCGCCTGTTGAATTTTTTTTCGCTCTTATCTTTTGCAGATATATTGCTGAATCTCTGAGGAATCGAGAACTCAGCAAGCGGTCTTCCGAAAAGTCCTGTTTGCTTTGCAAAAAACCCGCGAGCGGGGTGCGAGAAATCAGCGATCTATTTTTCCGGTGCCCGCCTGCCCCCGGCGATTGTCTGAGTCAGAAATTTTTTGCGAACTGGTGTATTTTGAGTAAAGTACATCGCAGTTGTAGTGGAAGATTAGACGATTTAAATCGCCGCACGCGATTTGCCAGTTATGAGATGTCTTCAAATGTAACGCCGGCTTACCACAAATGTTTGTGTACAACTTACTAAAAAGATAAATGCCCTGCATTCTGTATTTTTAGAATAAGTTTTGGACAGTTTGACTTCTGCCAAACCGCGTCGCCACTGAAATGCCTGCAGTATGCTCGGGGCTATAGGGGCATTCGTGCTTGCTTCGCGGAAGAAAACACATGCCTTCGTCCACGACTAGCTTATACTACACAAGACGAAAGCCTCCTATCAACAGGCAATGTATCGTAGCATTTGTGGAATTTAAGTACACATGTGGCCATCGTTACTGCTATGAAAGATCGCACACCTAGCGCTAGAATCCGAACCGCTCCTTAGGTGCTTACACCAAGCTGCAATGTTTCTCATTTTTAGATTCCAGCTCCAGCCAATTTTATCTGTTACTTAAACGTCTTTGTCTAGTGGAAGCCTGACAAATAAGGTCTGCTGTCGAACAGCCGCAGGATCAAGGGCTAGAATTGCGGTTCTTACCCGATTTTTGGAGAAGTTTGTTACGGGGCTCGGAGTTGGTACAAGAGGGTAAGTGAGGGTGCTAATTATGGATAAAAATTTACTTTATCAGTTCTGTCGATTTTCGGAAAATCTTAAGCTACGAGGTTGGGAGTTGGTAGAGGGGGGGGGGGTAAATGAGGATGCTGATTAAAACCGAAATCTATTTTATCGATTTCAGCGATTTTTGGAAAAGCTAGGAGTCGGTATAGGGGATACGAGAGTGCTGATTATAAATGGATCGGCTTTAGCCAGATATGTCGGCAAGTTTGAGATATGGTTGCTCTAGTTATTCGATAAATCATTCAACTATTTATTCGAAATTCGACTTCCAGTGTTCGAATATATTCGATATTCATTCATTAGATATTTTTGATTTTCTGAATTTATTCGGAATTCATCCATTCGAGAATTTTTGAAACTCGAATTTACTCGATATTCGTTTATTCAGACTTTTTATTTTTGGATTTACTCGACATTCGTTTACTCGAAATTTTTCTTTTTCGAATTTATTCGATATTCATTCATTCGATGAAAAAGTTTCGAATTACCCAAGTATAATGTACAGCATGCCCTTGATATTTCGTTTGTTGTTTTCTTAAAGATCCTTTCGTAAGGATGTAACGCAGCACATCTGTATAATATAAAAGATTACAGTAAGTACTATTTCGTAGTTCTGTTCTTGTAGGTTATCGTGCGCCAAAAAGTAGACGCAGACTGCCTTCCAAAAGAGATACAAGGGCTAGTGAATTCTGGAAAATGTCGTGTCGTTGTCATGTCGTTTCAAATCTTACTCACCATAACCCCAAAATATGAAGCTATCTTGCTAGGCAGATGAGATTTTCGTAATCAGCATGTCGGATAACCTCTATGGACAAGTTATCCGAGATTTTCGGATTATTTTTTTATTGTCGTACTACGTCTAAGGCTCGCCCATGGATTTTGGTCAAACTGTTGATGATCTTGGATTGTAAGGAAACTTCGCCTATGGAGGTTTTCGGACACGCTGTTTACAAAAACCGTAATCTTTTAGGAATGCGGGTGTTTTTGCAGAGATAAAGTGAGGGGAGGTAACTGTAACTCAGTCACGAAAGTTCGTAGTTTCGTCTTCACTTCTCCTGTGTCTGTCAGAAACCTCGCTTGCAGGCTTTTATAGGTTAAAGTTACTGGAACTGTGCCATAGAATGGTGCATGGCTTAGGCTCCAGTCTATAAAAGTCGCCCAGTTACGAGCCTACGAAAACACGTTTTCACGGTTGCTCAAAAGGTGAAGATCGCATACTTCCTCCGTATTCAATACAGTGGGATCCTTTAGCGAAAATAACATTTGCAATCAGAATGTCATACAACCACTCACGTAGAATTCGCTCATGCGCGGGGCTTAGGCTTATAATACAACAGCGCGGATACACACGACTTCCAGCGATGCAAAGACCACAATCCTGGAAACCGCACAAATTGAAACGGCGAGGCCATTACTTCCGGCTATATGCCCACCTTTAACGGCAAGATATGGGAATACGATAATTTTTGGACGCTGTCTGAAGAGAATGTCCACAATCAACTGCTTTCAAAGCTGCAGAAGTTCAACTATTTGATAAGTGCATTACGAGGAGGACCACGAGAGTTGATAAAGCGGTATGTGGTTACCGAAGACAATTATGAACACGCTGTGGAATTTTTGCGCAAAAAATACGGCGATGAGCCACAGCTCATCGCGATGCTACAGACGCGACTCGATGCGAGGGCCGAGCAACGAACCATAACGGCACAAAGGAAGCTTTTGGACACTCTACACCCCATCGTTACGCGATTAGAAAAGCTAGGGGTTGGTTTAGATGGGTCTTTCCCCCGCATAAAAAGTGATTTCGAAGTTTACGGGTGAAACTTCAACGAAAGGTTTTGGAACATCATGTGTCTCAAGAAACGGGAAAACAAGACTGGAAACTCCAAAACATTTTAGCGGACCTGGACTCACTCATAAACATGGGGGAACGAGTCAACGACATAGTCAACATTAACAAGAGTGACGTCGCTTCGGAGGACGAAGTCCAACTACGGCGAAATACAACACATGGAGCAACAAAGCTTCCATGCTGCATATTCTGTGACGACATGAACCACTAGTCGGTCAACTTTAGATTTATGACACCACAAAGAAACGGTGGAAGGTAATGCAAGAAAAGCAAGTTTGTCTAAACTGTGGGGGAAGGAACACTGTGCTAGAGATTGCGCCAGCGAAAGGTGCAGGAGCTACCTAGGCGAAAGGCACCATTATACACTTTGCCCAAAACGCTTTCTCAAAGCAATGAACGATAAAAACGAAAGTCGAAGACAAATTTTGTAGCACAGGCACACGCACCATCACATCCAAGGAAGGCTGTCGACACAAAATAACAAAGGAACAAACGCGAGGAAATTCAGTCAGCACGGAGGTTTCGAAGTAAAATAATGGATTGGATAGGACACAGAGACCAAAACCATTCTCAATTCCAAGGAAGAAGGAACGCTTAGGAAATATTGTTTAGTACTACTTTCTAACATTGTTGGCAAGGGATGGACTGATGTCGAGATACTCTTCGTGACAGGTGCAAATCAGTCCTTTATTAGCGCAAGCTTAACATGTAAGCTTCACCTGGAAAGCTTACGGACAGAAAGCTTCCAAATGTATACATTCGGTTCGCATGAACGAAGCCAACAGTGTGTGAGATGACCCAGCTAGAGCTCTTGGATAAGGAAGAGGAAAGTACAATGTACGACTCTACACAACGCCCCTGCTTGAGCAACGAAGGCCTGAAATTCCTCGAGACCCATCAGATACCCCTCTCGATCACAAAACAAATACGAGAATCCCACCCACAGATCTTACTGGGGTGCGACCAACTTTGGGATTTCGAAATTGCATCATCAAGGTTCACGCTTCCATCAGGTCTATCACTTATCCCTTCCAGTTTTGGCTACCTGATCATAGAGAAGCAACTCTCAAGGGCTTCCACGTCCCACAATGAGGAAAAATTTCAACATCTTTGTATGCAATCCGGATAGTCACAAAACTCAGTGATTTGATTTCGACGAAGATAAAGAAAGGCGGGACAAATACTGGACAATAAATTCGTCAGGAATCTGCGAATTCACTGGCACTGAAAGTGAAGAAAATGCGGCAGTTCGGAAAAAAGTGGAAAACTTTTCAACTCCACAATTGACAGACGCATAGGCCGGCAAAGTCCCATCGTCACCTCCCCGCGGTGCCGGCTGGCAACGGGGGCCAACCCCGGCAAACGACGAGGGCACTGTCCCGCCAGGCGGAGCGACGCGCCGGGGACTGTACGAATCAGTCGTGTCACATGCATCGGACTATTAAGGAATTTTGTCAAGCTGCTAGGGCGTCCCCCGGAGGCGACGCGCGTCATTGCCCGCATGGCGCGAATAGTGAGCTAGGGCTACCTGCCCCCGGACGAGGCAGGCCAAAGAAGCGAGTCCAGGAAATCCGACTAGCGACGATCAATATAGGAACGCTGACGAGCCGCAGTCGGGAACTATGCGATAGGCTGAAGGAACGACACGTCGACATCGCATGTATACAGGAAACGAAATGGAAAGGAAGGCAGGCAAAGGACATCGGCGACGGATATCGCTTGTACTACACGGGAGATAGCAGCCGCCAGAACGGAGTCGCGATCATCGTCAACGGTAGATACCGCGAATTAGTGACCGAAGTGACGCGCATCTCAGATAGATTGATGGCGATGAAGATCGAAGCAGATGATGCCACGCTCCGAATAGTCTCGTGTTATGCCCCGCAAGCCGCATGTACCGAAGCCGAGAAGGACGTGTTTTGGAGGGACTTCGACATCCTGCTAAGGACATTCGACGCTGCAGACTACATCTTCGTAGGAGGCGATCTCAATGGGCACGTTGGCCACGAACACTATGGATTCAAGCGATACCATGGTGGAAACGGATACGGTCAGAGGAATGAAGATGGAGAACGCATCCTGGAAGCAGCAGAAGCACACGACTTGGCAATAGCGAATACATTTTTCAAGAAGCGAGAGTCACATTTGATCACGTACGCGAGTGGAGAGCGCTCAACTCAAATCGACTACTGGATGCTGCGCCGATGCCACTTGCCAATGGTGATGAACGCGAAAGTTATACCCACGGCGACACATGCATTTGCGCCACAACACCGATTGCTTGTATTGGATCTTCGACTGAACATCCACTTGCGGTCACGAGCCAGAAGGACGACTACAAAGAGGATCAAATGGTGGAAGCTCCCCGAACACCGCCAGCAAGTCAGAGATGCTCTTAACGATTTGAGGGTGTTGACGGATGATAAGGAGTCGATTGAAGAGCAGTGGAATCGGATTACTTCGCAGATACGGTCGAGGGCCGAGACAATCTTGGGAACCACCAAGCCAGGACGCCGGTTTGTAGACAAGCAGATCTGGTGGTGGTCTGAGTCAGTCCAGCAAGTGATCAAGGAGAAGAAAGAAGCTTTCAAAGCCTGGCAACGCTCACGCTCAAATGAAGACCTCCGTCGGTATCGAGAGCAGAACTCGAAGGCGAAGCACGCGGTAGCCGAAGCAAAGGAAGCTCACTACAAGAGACTTTACGACGAGCCGGAAGGACCTGCTGGAGCGAACAAGGTCTACCGGCTGGCCGCGGCACGACATCGAGCGAAGCAGGACATCGACCACGTCATGCACATTAAGGACGCAGAGGGCAACCTCCTGACGAAGCCGAGGGCAATACTCAAGCGTTGGAGTGAGTACTACAAAGGTCTATTTAATGAGGAGTTCCCGCACCGGTTAATACCGCAAGGAGCCCCCACATATGGACCGGTATCCCGGATCGAGGAGGCAGAAGTTGTGCAGGCACTGAGGAAGATGTCTAGCGGAAAAGTTCCGGGACCCGACGACATACCTACTGAAGTGTGGAAGATGATGGGGCAGCGTGGAGCGGCATATCTCACATCGCTCTTTAACCGCATTATCGTAGACGGACAGTTGCCGCGAATCTGGACTACGAGTGTCACAGTCCCTATCTGGAAGGAAAAGGGCGACGTCAGCGACTGTTGAACATATCGACCAATACGCTTGCTATGCCACACGATGAAGATCTTCGAACGAGTCATCGACGCACGCATTCGAAGTATAGTGGAGGTCACCCCGAATCAATGTGGCTTTGTAAAAGGATCTGGCACCATCAACGCATCCACGCGGTACGATTGCTAATGGAAAGGCATTTGGAGAAACGGATTCCGATTCATTTCGCATTCCTGGATTTAGAAAAGGCATTTGATCGGATACCGCACGGGCTGATCTGGTATGCGCTGAGGAAACACGACGTCCCAGAAGAGTACGTTCGCTGGATCAAACTCCTCTATACGAACACGACGGGCGCCATACGCTGTGCAGTGGGAACGTCAACGCCATTCCCAATCCAAGTCGGAGTACACCAAGGATCGGCTCTATCACCGCTTCTCTTTATACTGTGCATGGACACGGTGACCAAGGACATCCAGCTGCCGCATCCGTGGACGCTCCTTTACGCAGACGACGTCGAGCTAGCAAGCGGATCGAGACAAGAGCTTGAAGAGGCGACTGTGAGATGGAAGACACGATTAGCGGAGTATGGCCTACGACTGAACGTAGCAAAGACCGAGTACCTGGAATGCGGAGAGCAAACCGATGGCACAATTAGCATCGATGGGCAGCCGCTGAAGAAGGTCACGATATTCAAATACCTGGGCTCCCGAGTGACGTCAGATTGCGACACGATCACTGATGCTCGTGCTAGGACGAATGCGGCGTGGCTAAAATGGCGGCAAGTAACAGGAGTACTCTGCGACCGACGAATTCCGTTGTATCTCAAGTCGAAAGTGTATCGGACTGTGGTGAGGCCAGTCGCACTGTATGGAGCCGAATGTTGGCCAGCAACCAGAAAACACGAGCAGATCCTGAGCACGATGGAGACGCGAATGATAAGATGGATACTGGGCCTAACGAGAAGAAACTGCGTCACGAACGATGATGTACGACACATTTTCGGAGTTGCACCTATCGCGGATAAGATGCGAGGTGCCAGATTAAGATGGTATTGTCACGTTTTACGAAGTGAAGATAATACAGTAGCAAAAACAGCACTTCGTCTAGATCCACAGGGGAAGAGACCACGTGGCCGTCCGAAGCAACGCTGGTTGGACACCATTCGAAACGACCTGCACATTGCAAAGCTCAAACCACAAGAAGCAGCTGATCGAGTCAAATGGAAGCAAAAATGCACCACCGCCGACCCTGCACCCGCGGGACAATGGCGAAGATAAAGAAGAAGAAGAAGAAGAATTGACAGACGCATACTCAGACAATCGCCGGGAGCAGGCAGGCGCCGGAAAGTGCGCGTTGCTGACATTTCGCATTCCGCTCGCATTCCAGGAAAATGGTCGGCGAGTTTTTGAGAGACCGCCTGTTGAATTTTTTTTCGCTCTTATCTTTTGCAGATATGTTGCTGGGTCTCTGAGGAATCCAGTAGCCGTATTCATCAACGAAACCCGTGGGTTCCAGAACCCACCGGGTTAGTGCTTTTGATGAATATCGATTTTACTCCAGGAAAGAATCGATATTCATCAAAAGCACTAACTCAGTGGGTTCCAGAACTCACGGGTTTCGTTGATGAATACGACCACAGAACTCAGCAAGCGGCGCTCCGAAAAGTTCTGGTACTTTCTAAAAAACCGCGAGCGAGGTGCGAGAAATCAGCCATCTATTTTTCCTGTGCCCGCCTGCCACTAGCGATTGTCTGAGTAGATGGATACTATGTACGCTTGCCCTCTAAGAATTCACACCCGCCTCTACTCACCAACAAAGCGATTCCACCTTTGCCTACTCCAGATGTCTTCTACCGAAGATTTTAGAACATTCCGAACAGCTAAAACAGATAATGTTCACCGTCAACCGACTGGAGAAAGACGTAGCGAAGATGTGTCTGTAGAAGGAAAAATGACCGGAACGCTTGGTATTGCTACATATGAGAGAGCATGAATGCCAACGATACAGACGGGAACTCTCGTATTTGAAGAATCAGTTTCGCACATTTTCGGCTATACCGTTCCTTGATGCCACAGATGTCATGTCCACCGACGCTTGGGAAGGATTAAAACAGCGACAGATGCGGGACCTCGCAGGAGGAGTACTCATGACAGATTTCGATGACGTCAATGTAGCTGTCGAGGCACTTGGGTGCACTAGAAGTCATCATAAAGACTCATGACATGCGCAAGCGAATGCAGGAAATGGCGGAAAACCTGACACACAAGCTGACACGGCAACACAGCTGAAAGGCATCCTGGACAAAGCATTAGTTACGATGATCACGAAGATGATTGAATGGCAGCACTGGCGCAGATGCCGCAGCCGCAAGAACGGTGGCGAAACGAGAGACTGTCGCCGAGAAAAAGATCAGGTTGGAAGAAGGGCTGACTGCAGGGATCCATCGGAACGCGAATTGGAAGAAGAAAATGTTGGCGGGGATATAACGACTTCGTAGAAGAAGACCTCCAATTGCGAGACGACACGCCAAACGCAAAAGAGCAGGACGAAAACGGATTGCCTGAAGAGCTCCACCTGCAAGAGGAGGGAGCTCCCAAACACGACAATGCAATGGATCAAGAAGAGGGCGAACTAGCCGAGCAAGACCCTAAAAAGACCACAGAAGAGGATGAGGAACCGAAAGTTCGAGAGTCCCGACGTCGTGATTGCCTAGAGGACGAACGGCGTCACCAGCAACCCATAAAAGAATTGAAGCAGGTGATGGAAACGGAACGCAACTTCAAGCAGCTGATCCAGGACCTGGCAGACAAAAAAGTGTGCCCACCGAGGTGAATTACGCATGGATTTATCCCGCGCTAAGAGGAAAAGAGTATCCAGTGTGCTTTCTGCAAACGCGTGGGACACCACTACGATTCCTGCCAGATAGTGTGGACTGCCGCCACGCGGCGCGACCTGCTAAGGGTGGAACACTAATGCGTAATGTGCTTACACACCAGCTGCACGGAAGACAAGTATTGCTCCAAGTACGCCGTGAAATGCTATCACTGTTGCGCATTCGGACATCACTCGGCAGTTTGCGAGCTGCCGGAGCTCAGCGAGGACATTGCGGATCAGCTATGCAGAGCACGATCAGAGCTAGAGAGAAATTGCGAAAGGAGGATCGCCATCGAAAGGCAGCCCCGCGCTCGACGCTACTGAGCCTACCAATCAAGCACGCAAGATGAGTCAAACGCAAGAAGAACATCCCTCACATCATAATCTCTATTAACCAGTGACGGATCGAATGGGTCGAAAAGAGGGGGCGGGGGGGGGGGGAGCGAGAATGGGTCGCAAAATTTTTAAAATTTGCTTACGTGGGTCATAAAAATGTGCAAATGACTTGTTTATTTTTGCAAACAATTAAAATAATTTATTTTCAAAAACTCAAATTAGCCCTATAGAAAATTTTTTTCGGGGGCGTGGCTGTTGGGGACCCGCAAAAATTTGGAGAAGCACCCCTAAAATTTTTTCGGAGTGTGTGGCTAACGCCACGCACCTTCATTAGAAAAATTTTTGCCCCCCCCCCCCCCGGTCCAAAATCCTTGGACGGCCACTGCTATTGATCTATGCTACGCTTCATGTATCTGTCGGGCGGGAGTACCGCGGAATCGCCATTGTATTCTGATCGTTTGAGTCAGAAGACGTGAAAGTAATGCGCAGCTGTGCAACTCGCAGCTGCGCGAAGACATAGCCGCAGAAGTTAACACGTGTGCACTTTGGGAAGGGCTGACTTCGTTAAATTCACTTCGATCAAGACAGCGACCGCGCCTCGCCCCGTCAGAAGAATCGTCGCTTCCCGTTATCGCCCACTAACCTCACCATCAAATATTCTCGCCTCATTTATTCTGTATTTTGTGATTTCAACGCAATAAATCGCAAAGAAGACGTGGTGGACAATTGGAAGTGGTCGGAGCGAACACATCCTCAAAGACCACGATTTTCGTAAACAGCGTGTCCGAAAACCTCCATAAGCGAAGTTTCCTTACAATCCAAGATCATCAACAGTTGGACCAAAATCCATGGGCGAGCCTTAGACCGTAGTACAACAGCAAAAATAAAATAATCTGAAGATCTCGGATAACTTGTCCATAGAGGTTATTCGACCTGCTGATTACGAAAATCACATCTGCTTAGAAAGATAGCTTCTATTCCTAAAGATATTTTAGGGTTATGGTGAGTAAGATTTAAAACGACATGATTTTTCCAGAATTCACTAGCCCTTCTATCTCATTTGAAAGGCAGTCTGAGTCTACTTTTTGGCGCACGATAACCTACAAAAACAGAACTACCAAATAGTACTTACTGTAATCTTTAATATTTTACAGTTGTGCTGCGCTACATTACGAAAGGACCTTTGAGAAAACAGTAAACGGAATATCGAGGGCATGCTGTACATCCGAAGTTTTGCCTGACGAGCTGAACACAATGCTGCTTTCGGATGTAGAATGAATTCATTCCGAAGGAAGTTATGTATTAGTTCTTCGTGATTCACGTGATTCGGCGGATCCTAATATGTCGCGAAATTCCCGGAATATGGCGGACTTTCACGGAATTCCGCGAGGTTCGGAAGTTTTGCACATTCTGTGGGCGGTATGTACCTTGAGAGTCGATTTTAGGACAAATTCGATCAGAGTGACTCATTAGCATACTCCTACAGTATATCTACTATGTGTCATCAGCGAGAAATCAATGGCAATATTGTTATCAGCACACTGAACAGTCCAACCAAGCAAAAATCTGCGAAATTGAGCAAGAACTTAGTTTCTACTGTGCACCTATCGTGCCCTGTAAAGTGCGGCACTTTTATAAACTGTATGATGCATCTCGCCGAGCTGAATCGAACGGTGTCCTTGGATTCAGAATTCGTCCATTCGGAAGCGAGGTATGGTGATGCGAAGGGGATTCCGACAGACTCTAGTGATAAGCGGCGTATTAGGCCTCGGACAGAGTTCAAGTGATTTAATCGTCGCGATTCAATCGCTGAGATTTCCATTCATTTTCATTTCACATTCAAAAATTTCGGGCTGGAAAAGTATCACAACCGAAAAGCAAGCTGGTCGGCTATGAACTCGTATCAGTTGTCTTGCCGCGACTGAATCGCGACGATCAAAACCGCGTGAACTCTGTCCAAGGCCTTACGCTGCTCTCCGATGGACTCTAGTGAAGACTCGCGACTCGATAATATTGCGTCATTTATCATTTACATCTGACTCAGCAATTCACCGAATTTTTGGGTCATAAAAACAGTCGAGTATGAGAGTCAAACCTCGCCTTTCTTAAAACACAGTTGAGAAATTATGATGTTGTGAAATAAAACATACCTTGAGGCAGATTATACCTTAGTCTACCTTGAGGTTGTTACGTAATCAATGTATTAGGTTGTCTCATAAGTTTTTTTCAATTTTGACTTTTCAAAGCAATAAGTCACAAATTCTCAATTTTGATTAAAATGTAGGATACCTCTCGATAGAGCAAAGCAAGCTCTATATGATGGCATGTAAAAGTTTGAACTAGCTTCAGCATATCACGAGTTAGAGGCCGAAATCTGAGAACTTCTGTGCCCAAAAAATTGAAAATTTTCTGTAACTTTGCCCGAAGAAGACTTACCAAATCCCAAACTCGCTCACGCATACACACTCCACAGAACACATTCATATGTGCCGTTGCTGTGTTTGTTTCTGTACTAGAAACCGAAAGAACCAAAATTTTCGAGCTTTCAAAAAAGCGATGCTGCGCTGCTTTCACGCAGGTATATGTATACTACAGGCCTATTGAAGTACAGTCACAAACTTCCAGCTCCCCATAAGCTCTAGTTCACAAGAAATATCAATTTCAACATGTAATACCTTAGCAAAAAAAGCTAGATTTGGTATTTCTCAAGAACAAGCGCTTCCGGGAAGTTGAAAATTTACCAATGTATTACTGAAGGCCTGTAATATACATTTGCTTGTGTGAAACAACGCAGCATCGCTTTTTTGAAGCATGAAAATCTTAGTTTTCTCGGTGTCTAACAAGAAACAAACACAGCAACGACACATATGAGTAAATTGTTTGGAGTATATATGCGTGAATGAGTTTGGGACCTAGTAAGTCTTCTTTGGACAAGGTTATGAAGAAATTTCAACTTTTGGGCATCCAAAAGTTCTTAGATTTCGGCTTCTAAATGGTGATGTGGTGAAGCTGATGCAAACACTTACATGCCATCTTATAGAGCTTGCTTTGCCTATCGAACAGCACCCTGCGTTATACTTAGAATTTAAAAGTGTGTGAGCTATTGCTTTAGAAAATCAAAGTTGAAAAAACTTATAAGACAACCTAATACTTTAAGGCCGAAAACATACCTCACGCAATTTTAGTCGTGACGCGTTTGGCAGTACTCCAACTGGTCATAACTCATCACAAGGGGTTTCCGAATGAAGATACGGAAGACAGGGCACTTTATCAACCTACGAAAGTTGTGATAAAGATGTCTTTGGGATCTACCAGCATTGAATTTGAAGACATATGGAAAACTGCCAGATCGCGGGCGACTGAAATCGCGTAAGGTTTGCCTTGGGCCTGAGTAAAATCTACCTCTTCCTGCATAATATGCGGTTTTTCAACAGCATGACGTACGTGCGGAGAATTTTTTTTGTTCAGTAGTTGCTTGGTATCACAAGGAACTTCGCGTTTTTAGAGTTGAAGTGTTACATTCAGTGAATTGAAGAAAATATGGTTCACCTAATCAAGTATTCCAAGTTCTGAGACTTTATCCCGGAAATCACTCGCTCAAATTGAAGGACTCTCCCTGTTACAATGCTTTGTCTCTCTGCAGAAAGCTGTGCTCGTTTAGTTGGGAATGTAGCAATGAAGATTTTCTCTTCAATTTCTGGCATGCTTCATAATATTGATTTCGCTGTCAGTCATAGTTAGAAATTTCTTGCTTGATATTTTTGATAGGGTTAGATTGATAAGGGATGTTGTGGAACAGTTTCTGAATTTAGGAGTGAGCGAGATATTTGTTGCGCTAATTCTGCTCCAGAATTCTGTTTACACGTCATGAACTTCTGATTTCGTGTGATAAATAGCGATGCCTGTAGAAATTCTGATGCTTGCAATGGAGTAAGCGCTAGGGACAGCATCTAAATGAGTGGATCATTTCCACAGTTTTGAAAACACCTTTTGAGAATGCGGCCCAAAGTTGGATGGATGAACGACGAAAGTAAATAAGAAGTGAAATAGATTTTTTCCCACTAGGCTAGTTCAAAGCTGCTCTCACCATCACTCCTACTCCAAAAAAAGGGTTGGAGAGGATAAGAGATGTATTTGATTTTTTCTGAATCAGTAGAATTGACTTCATAGGAGTTTATAGGCAACTAGCTGGCATACCCGGCTCCGCCCGGCACCACGTATACTTCAGTAAAAAAAGCCAAAGTTGTATTCCTCAAGAAAAGGAATACAAATTTGGCTCTTTAATTGTACCGTTTCGTTCCTACCCTTAGACGGTTTGGCTAAACAGGTCCTAGGCTTTCCCCGGAACTCATAAGTAAGGAAGGAAGCTCGACTGGATCCGTTCAGCTCCTTGTTTGTCTCACCCACCTGCCCTGGCCGCCGCTGGCCGCCAGTTTTTTTGGGTTTTCGTTTTGCCATTTTTTTGGATTTTGTATCTTTTAATTTTTTGGATTTTCCAACCGGATGGCATGCAACAAATAAATACTGTGCTATACTACAGCATGCAGTTATGTTAGCGCCCTGGGATACACTACGTCAGCTGTGCTCCCTTCGGGCGCATACATGTACAGGTTCGCCAGACT